CTCTCCCCCATCTCTCCTTCTCTCTCTCTCCCTCTACCACTGTGTCCCTCTGCCTCCCTCTCCCTCACCCTGCCTCCCTCCCTCCCTCTCTCTCTCCCTGCCCCTCCCTCTCCCTCTCCCTCCCCATGCAATGGCACCTGCTGTCCACTGGACACAGCACAGTGACGTGTCAGGCCTTCGTATGAAGGACGTGCTCTCCAGCATCTTGGTTCTGCTTCTGCTCCCACCCTCAGCTGGCCACTGCGGCTCCCCGGACCCCATCGTGAACGGCCACATCAGCGGGGATGGCTTCAGCTACCGGGACACTGTTGTCTACCAGTGCAGCCCTGGCTTCCGGCTGGTGGGGACATCAGTCAGGATCTGCCTGCAGGACCACAAGTGGTCTGGACAGACCCCCGTCTGTGTCCGTGAGTACCGTGCCAGCCCGGCTGTCCTCACGCTTCCAGTGCGTCCAGCCACCCACAAGCATGCCCCGGGCTCAGAGCAGGAGGGCTCTGCTGGTGGAGGCCAGGCCCCAGCTCGAGCCCGTCTGTCCTCTCCCCACTCTGGCTCCTTCCACTGCCTCCCAAGTCCCTGCCCAGGCTGGGCTCAGCACGAGGGTGCCACTGCTCCCTGCGAGGACCCAGGCCAAGCACAGGCGGAGCCCTGGTGTCTGCAGTGTGGAGGAGGCCACCTCCTTGTCCGCATGGCTTTCTGTCTCCTCACTGTTTCGCCTGGGCACGGAGAGCCCCTTGACAGAAAGAAATGAGATTGCCTGCAGGCCTCGCAGAGCCCATCACTGAAAGTCAGTGCTGGCTTTAGAGTACACACGCCCCTCTCTTTATTGCAAAATTCCTCTTAAAGCAATTGCCCTACTCACATATGCTTTTCTTTCCCATGAATGAAACAAAAGAGATGCTACCAAGGCACCCGTGGTGATGGTGACAGGTGTCGCCTTGGCGAGTGCTGTGGTGACACGCAAGGTTAGAGATCAGAGCTTTACTCGGGAGAAGATGGGAGATGTTGACAGGATAAGTGAGGAGGAGGACACCAGTCTGGGGGCCCGAGTGTGTTTCTTTCGCAAGGGCCGGTGACCAAGACCCCCGTGCTGCATAGTCCCGGCCTGGGGCATGCCATAATGGCAGAACGTGACATCCTAGGACAGCAAGTGTGGCGGGGAAAGGGCCTCACGTGTGTGGCTGTCTTGCTAATTGCGTGAGGCTTGCAGGGAGACTGGAGACATTTAAAATTTCGAGAAAAGCTATGATGTCTCACAGCAAAGCTTCGCAAAAGGAGCTGGCATTTCCTGGAGGGAACTTTCCAAAGCCTGGAAGCCACAGGGTGGGCTGGGCAGCACTCAGGCTCAGCGCTTTGCTGGGCCTTCCCTGAGGGAGGCGGCTCCTGAGTGAAGGAGCTGAGCTGCGTGGGGCAGGGCTGCCTGGCCTCACTCTTGGGGTGACGGCGCTCCGGCCTCCCCGTGTCTCCTGCCGCCTCCCACCGCCATGCGCCCTGCAGAGTGGGGGCTGAGCGCGGCGGGGACCCTCCTGTCCCACACCCGTGGATGTGTTCTCAACGTGACAGGAATGACTTGTTTCTAAAATGTACATCTGGGCTGAGAGAATGAAAAAGACAGAAGGGAAAAAATATGTATGTCTGTACACAGGCTAGCTTGGATAAATGTACTGCTGATTTCTACTGGCCTATTAAAAGGGACAGCTAATGCTTACATATTTTTCTTCTTTAACCAGTTTCTGAAAAATTTTACATGTTTATATCTGGTAATCTGAGCAGCTAATTTGCAGACAACAATATACAATATAACAATCATTGTTGAATTACTCTTTTTATTTAAGAAAATTCTGTACCCTTTCTTCTTCTTTATTATCCATTCTATTTTTTATTCTCTTTAAAAAATAAAACATGAAAAAATAAATAAAATGGATGGTGACAGCGCTGTCTTCCCCACAGCAATCACCTGTGGACACCCTGGAAATCCCGCCCATGGGGTCACCAACGGCAGCGAGTTCAACCTGAACGACCTCGTGAACTTCACCTGCAACGTGGGCTACCTGCTGCAGGGGGCCTCGCGCGCCCAGTGCCGGAGCAACGGGCAGTGGAGCAGCCCGCTGCCCACCTGCAGAGGTAGGAGGCCTGCAGCGGGCCTGCCCGGGTCTCTGGGGTGGAGGAGACGCTGGGCGGGGCAGAGCCCGTGCAGTCCCAGGGCCCTGCACAGACGGTGCTGAGGACCAGGCCAGGTCCTGCGTCTCGGGCCAGGGTCTCACTGCGGGCCCCTGGGATCCTGTCCTACCGCAGCAGCCCGTCTTCCCTCTCTCCCTGGCTCATGCTGCCCTCCCATGAACAGTGGGCACCTCTGCTGGAGTCAGGCACGCATTTGTAAGAGCATGGCTTGTTCAGCTCAATTACCTATTTTTGATTGATTTAAAATTGTCATATTGATTTGAGCTAAAACTAGAGTTTCCAGGGAAATTCTGTTTCTAGATTTCGCATCTCCTCCCCATGCCTGCTTGTAGTATTTAAGACTCTGCCTCAGGTCCTCACACCTCCGGCTGTGGGTGTGGCACAGAGGCCAGGTCTCCTGGCAGCACCAAGTGACGTCAGGGCCTTAGGCACTGTTGGCTGTAGCAAGTGCTCACTGCCTCCAGATTGCCAGGGGGCGTCCTTACGGGAGACCACTCAGAGTGGGGGTCCATGGCTTCGGATGAGTGGCCGCCGCTGCTGAGCTCTGCTGCAGTCCACGAGGGAGTTTTTGGCTTGTGCTCAAGCACTGCGTGAGCCTGACTCCCTCCCCCTACAATGCCAATGTCAAGGCCACGTTAGGTGGCAGCCGGGACCCGCGGACCCACAGTCTGCCATTGCTGAAGGCCCTGAGTGAGGCTGGTGTTAGGTTTTTCGTCACAGCAGAGAGGCAGAAGAAGAAAAGAAGGGCCTTTGTTGAGGACACGGAGAGGACTTCTGGAAGATAGTGGGGATCGCTGCCCTGAGACAAAGGGAGCTGGAGTTAAGTGGACCTCGGCTCGGGGCAGAGTTTGAGGGCAGGCTCGGTGATGCACACGGAGGAAGCTGTATGCAGGGCTGAGGGCAGCAGAAGGGGCACATGGTCGTTGGGAGGATAAACTGTTGTTCGGGCTTCAGCCGTGTTAGACCACCATGACAGTTCAGCAGCTCAGACTCGGCCGGAACCTACCAGCCAGAGCTGCCCCTGCCTCCGTCCTGAGAGGAGCAGGCCCCAGATCGGATCCCTTCTTCCAGTGGAGGCCTCTCTCTCCAGAGCCATGTGGCCAGGGCAGGCATGCTGCCTTGTGCCGGAGAGGGAGTCCGCACTGGGGGCGGCGTCTGTTCTGCCCCTTCTCGGTGTCGCGGCTCCGTCTCCTGCAGCCTCAGTGCCCAGGGTCAGCGCCCAGCACACCACGAGGCAGGGCCTGAGACCCAGCAGCTGGCCTCGTACTCCAGAGGCAGCACCGGGGCGGGGCGCCACCGGGCCAGGCCCAGCCGCCTCCGGGTCCTCTGCCCTCTGCACCTGGACAGCCGCAAGCACCGCAGTGCGCTCAGAGTCCGCACGGGAGCTGACGGGGCCGGCGTAATGTGCGATCCCTTGTGTTTCCTGAGCCTGAACCGCACCATTTGAAACTTACTTTTCCACACCACGAGTAGTTAGCTCACTCGTCAGCATGGAGGGCTTACGACAGTCGCACATGTTATCGGGGTACAATGTCATCAATTCTTTTCCCATTAAGATTTTCCTCATTGGGGGGCCGGGGATATAGCTCAGTGGCATCAGCGCCTGCCTGGCAAGTGCAAGGTCCTGAGTTCGATCTCTGGTACTGCAAAAAAAGAAAAGAAAGAAAAACAACAACAAAAAAAGATTTTCCTCTTTGAAAAATGAGTGAATAACTTGGTCACAGAAGCTTTCACCTCAAGATAGCTACAGATTTATGTGCGGCCATGGTAAATGATGCAGGCAATTCTTCCGTGTCCCTTCACGGAGTGGCCGGTGGTGGCACCTCACAAGCCCAAGCGTGCTGGCACCCCTCAGTGTGGTCATGAGGACCTCGAGGCCCCACAGCGCTGGCCCCAGCCTTCTCCCTGTTCCGCAGTTCTCCATCCTGGCCCCCAGGTCCATGACCTGCTTGTGCTGAGACCGTGCACCCCAAGTGGGGCGATGGCTGTGGAGGCCTTCGGGCTGCCTTCTTCACGCACCCTGGCCCCCGGCAGTGAGCTGGAGGAGTGTGTGCTCATGCCCAGCGTGCTGTCTCCCTCTGTCCCTGTGTCTGTCCCTCCCCCCCTTGTCTCCCTCCCTGCCCTCCCTGTCTCCCTCCCTCCCTCTCTCTCCCTCCCTCCCTCCCCTCCCT